AAAACTCAGGAAGTTTGGAATTAGAAATTGATCATCCTGCTGCCTCTAATGGATTTCATGGATAAAGAAGATGACTGCCAACATTACCATAAAGGAGACAATGGACATCATGTACATCCTGATGGAAGTGCACATTTTTACCCCTGGAGAGCACTTCCTAAGAAATAAACACCTAAACTTTAATATGAACAGGATTCTACCTATAAAAATTGAGGATTGCTATTGATTAATGTTAGGTAACTGGGTTCATTATTCTAGTCTCCATACTGTTGTATATGTTTGAGAATTTCTTAAAAAAAAAAAAAAGAGAATTTCTATAATACAAGGGCTCTTTCTAAACATCCTGCCTTTAATATGAAATGTGATGTGGGGCGCCTGGGAGGCTCAGTCAGCTCAGGTCATTATCTCAGTGTCCTGAGATTGAGCCCCGCATTGGCCTGCATGCTCAGCGCAGAGTCTGCTTGAGATTCTCTTTCCCTCTCCCTCTTGCCCCTCCTGCTCGTGCTCTCTCCCTCTCTCTCTCAAAATATATAAATAATACTTAAAAAAAAAAAAAAGAGAGAGAAGTGATGTACAGGCAGTTCTCATTTTATGGCAATTCTCAGATCATCGTGTTTTCTGCCAAATGAAGGTTTGTGGCAACTCTGTGTAAAGCAAGACTATCAGTGATATTTTTTCAACACAATTCCCTTACTTCATATTTCTGTGTTATGTTTTGGTAATTCTCTCAATATTTCAAACTTTTTCATTATTCTTATATGTGTTATGGTGATATATGAACAATCATCTTTGATGTAACTACTGTAATTGTTTTAGCTTTGTGCAGTGGCAATATCATAGCCAATGAGGTTTACCCGAGGCGCGATTATTGCTAATTGAAAACTACTGTAATTGTTCTGAGGCACCAAGAATCACACCCATAAGATGGCAAACTTAATCAGTGCTGTGTGTGTTCTCACTCTCCCACTGACCAATTGTTCCCTCCATCTCTCCCTCTCCTCCAGCCTGCCTATTCTGACGCACAACAATATTGAAATTAGGCCAATTAGTAACCCCACAATGGCTTCTTAATGTTTAAGTGAAGGGAAGATTTCCACGTCCTTCACTTTAAATTGAAAGCTAGCAATTATTAAGCTTAGCGAGGAAGGCATGTCAAAAGCCAAGATAGGCTGAAAGCTAAGGTTCTTGCACCAGTTAGTCAAATAGTAAATGCAAAGGAAAAGTCCTTGAAGAAAATTAAAAGTACTACTACAATGAGCACATGAAAGTGAAACATGAATAAAGTTTCAGTGGTCTGGATAGGAGATCAAACCTGTCACAGTATATATCCCCTTAAGCCAAAGCCTAATCTGGAGCAAGGCCCTAACTCTCTTCAGTTCTTTGAAGGCTGAGAGAGGTGAGGAGGCTGCACGAGAGAAAATCTGAAGCTATCAGAAGTTGGTTCATGAGGTTTAGGAAAGAAGCCATCTCCACAACATAACAGTACAAGGAAAAGTACCAAGTGCTAACGTAGAAGCTGCAGTAAATTCCGTAGATCTAGCTAACATAATTCATGAAGGTGGCTACACTACACATAGATTTTCAGTGTAGATGAAACAGCCTTCTATTGGAAGAAGATGCCATCTAGGACTTTCATAGCTAGAGAGGAGAACTCAAAGCCTGGCTTCAAAACTTCAAAGGACAGGCAAACTCTCTTCTTAGGGACTAATGCAGCTGGTTGAAACGAAAGCCCAGTCCCATTCCAAAAATCCTAGGACCCTTAAGAATTATGCTAAATGTATTCTGCCTGTGCTCTGTAAATGGAAAAACAAAGCCTGGATGACAGCACATCTGTTTACAACATTATTTACTGAACATTTTAAGGCCACTGTTGAGACCTACTGCTCAGAAAAAAAGATTCCTTTCAAAATATGACTGCTCATTGACAGGGCACCTGGTCACTTGAGAGCTTTGATGGGGATGTGTAAGGAGATGAATGTTGTTTTCATGCCTGCTGACACAACATCCATCCTGCAGTCTGTGGATAAAGGGGTTAATTTCAACTTTTAAGTCTTATGATTTAAGAAATACATTTCATAAGGCTATAGCTACCATAGCTAGTGGATCCTCTGATGGATCTGGGCAATGTCAATTGAAAACCTTCTGGAAGGGATTCACCATTCTAGATGCCATTAGGGACATTCAAGATTCATGAAAAGAAGTAAAAATATCAATATTAATGGGGGTCTGGAAAAAGTTATTCCAATCCTTATGGATGACTTTGAGGGTTTCAAGACTTCAGATGGAGGAAGCAATTGCAGATGTGGTGAAAATAGAAGGGGACTAGAATTAATTGGAGCCTAAAGATATGACTGAATTGCTGCGATCTCATGATAAAACTTGAATGGATGAGGATTTGCTTCCTACAGCTGAGCAAAGAAAGTGGTTTCATGAGATGAAATCTACTCCTGGTGAAGAGGCTATCAAACAGCATCACATGCTACAGAGAAACTGTGTGTGAAAGGAAGAGTCAATCGACGTGGCAAACTTCATTGTTGCCTTATTTTAAGACATTGCCACAGCCACCCCAACCTTTAGAAACCACAAGCCTGATCAGTTATCAACAGAGAGGCAAGAACTTCCGTCAACAAAAAGGTTATGACTTGTTGAAAGCCCAGATGATGGCTAGCAATTATTAGTAATAAAGTACTTCTTTATTACAATATGTACTTTTTATTTTTTTAAGACTTATTATTTGAGAGTTAGAGCATGTGCGTGCAGGGGAAAGGGGCAGAGAGAGTCTTAAGTAGGCTCCACGCCCAGCACAGACGCTGATGTGGGGCTCAATATCACATCCCTGAGATCACGATCTGAGCAGAAACCAAGAGTTGGGCGCCCAACAGACTGCGCCACCCAGGTGCCCCATATTATGACATGTACTTTTTAAAGACAAGGTATTGCACATTGAAAAGACAGTGTAAACATAACTTTTATATGAACTGGGAAAACAAGAAATTCAATGGACTCTCTTTGTCACAATATTTGCTTTATTCTAGTAGTCTGGAACCAAATCTGCAATATCTCCAAGATATGCCTCTATACCACATCTTATCACATTTATCTCAGCTCAGTGTCTCACCATATAAAACATCCAGTCAATTAATCTATCTAATATGTATTCATTGAGCAATCAAGCTCTAGTTTTCTCCAGAAATTATTAAAAACCAATTTCCTCATTTTCCTCACTTCTAGTATAACTGGTATTCTTTGAAAAGTTTTTTTTTTTTTGCCTAAAAGTCACCATCTTTGATGACTATTTAAAATGCACTCACCTTTGAATATTTAGTACAACTTCTTAAGTCCTAGCAAGTTACATTATAATTTCAATATGGAAACTACCATCTTCTCACTTTAAATATTTTTAAATGTACTTAAAGTACGCTTCATTCAAATTACATAAAAATAACACATATTTTATACATCATGAATAAAAACCAGTTTAATGCATTTATAGCTGAAAGGCATTTAGAAATTTCACTTAATCTGTCCCACATAAACAGAACTGTATGAGCTTGGAGTTTTCATTAAGCTATTTTAATTTTTATTTATTTATTTTTAAAGATTTTATTTATTTATTTATTTGACAGAGAGAGACACAGCAAGAGAGGGAACACAAGCAGGGGGAGTGGGAGAAGCAGGCTTCTGGCTGAGCAGGGAGCCTGATGTGGGGCTCAATCCCAGGACCCTGGGATCATGGCCTGAGCTAAAGGCAGACACTTAACGACTGAGCCACCCCGGCGCCCCTCATTAAGCTATTTTTAAATTAAGATGTGCATACTTTTTTTTTTTTTTAGACATAATGCTTTTGTACAAGTAATAGACTACAGTACAGTGTGAATATAACTTTTAGATGCATCGGGAACCGAAACATTCATGTGACTTGCTTTAATGCAATATGTACTAGCTTTATTATGGTAGTATGGAACTGAACCTGCAATACCTTTGAGATATGCCTGTAAAATGGAGCATTTTATCAAAATATTGTGAAATTAAATAAAGGAAAACTCATCTAAAATGGAGTCGGGAGGCCAGAAAGGGGAGCTCTCATAACTTACCACTTGTCTTCAATTGCAGACAAGTAGAAATATATTCCCAATAGGAATAAGCTCACACATACTTCACTACAAGAGCAGGAGGAAAAAAAAAAGATTTTTTCCTTGCCCAGTAACAGCCCAGCCAATGAGAGACTGTCACAACTTAGCCAGTGAAAAGTCATTTCAAACTCCCAGTTTACTCCAATGGACTTTATAAGAGCTCCCCCAACTCCTCCTTCCATCTATAAAAGAGTATTCCCCTCCTTTGTTCTTGGACTTGCCTATGGTTGTGCCTGGCCTCCAAGTCCCAAACTGAAATTCTCTGCTACTTCCAGATAAACCCAACTTCCTGGTAAAATAACTGGATGCTTACTTTTAAGGTTAACATAATATAAATAAGTAAATAGGTCCATAGAGAGACAGATATCTTCAATCAACAAAATAAGAAATGAAACAGCAGTCCAACCCAAGGCAACATCAAAAGACTCCAGGGCCATCCAGGCTTTAGGGCTTGTTACACAAAATGATAACGGTAAAAGTAATCACCACCTCATGTAAACTTTTTTAATTACACAAAAACTAGGGAGTTATTCAACCATTAAAATAGGCTACCTCTTCTTGATACAAAGACCAGGTGAGAATCCCTCAATTAAACAACACTTAAGGCAAGCTCACTTGCATAGAGACAAATACCCTAAATAAATTCATAGTATTTCCAATATAGCAGTGAATTAACATTAGAAAATGCTGCCAAATGGAAATCACTATCTTAGCAAAAAAAGAGGGGAAAAGGACTGAGACTATGTGCAAGGGTAAAGAAAAAGCCTTTGACAAAATAAATAAATGAATGAATGAATGAATAAATAAATAAATAACACTTGCCAATGATAATAAGTTTTTGCAAGCTTCCATTACAAAAGAATTTCCATGCTCCATTTGGCACCAAATACACAAAAATTGGAACAATACAGAGAAGACTAGCATGGCCCCTATGCAAGGATGATATGCAAATTTGAGGAGTGTTCCATCTTGAAAGAAAGAAAGAAAAGAGGGAGGGAGGAGGAAGGGAGGGA